TTGTCCTGTCCGGCACAAGAGTTTACACTGCCATATCTTATACGTTGATTATTGGTAAAGGAAAACACCTGCATAGAGGCGCGGAAATGTTTTAAATTTGAACTGCTTCAAATCTGAACTGCCCCGTTTCACATTCGAAACAGCCTGCTCTGACCATTCTGGGTGTGTTTTAAAAACATTCCCCAAATGATGAAAACAGCTCACTGCAAAGGTGAAACAATGGCGTGAAGCCTGAGTGAGCCGTTCACCTCTAAAATGGTTTGAGCTAGAAACGTGCCCAGCCTTTGAAAATCTTAATAATAATTCACTGAAAAAAATATGTCCTGTTTCTCTTGAGGGGATTCTTAATTGTGTCGTAAACAATCATATTGGTGAAGGTCAGGTATTTTGGTATCAGATTTTCAAAATCTAACAAAAAATGTGTGTGTGCTGTGGTTTGCATTTGTTAGTTAATGATAAAAATTTGGATGTCTTAAAAGCTAGAGAACAAGTCCTTGCAAATATTACTACTTCTAAATTTAATATGACATGAAAAGGCACAAGAGCATAAAAAACATACAGGTAGTCCTCGCTTAACTACCACAATAGGGACTAACTGGAAAATTGGTCATTAAACAGGGCGGTCATTAAGTGAGTTGCCACATGACCAGACCCGATTTTACAACCATTTCTACAATGGCTGTAAAGCAAATCACCACAGTCATTAAGCGAATCACATGGTTGTTAAGCGAATCCAGCTTCCCCAATGGACTTTTTTGCCGGAATTTGCTTAACAACCATGTGATTCGCTTTATGATGTCATAAAAAGGACGCAAATCAAATCACGTGACACTGCAGCGGTGGTAAGTGCAAATACAAGTCATAAAGCACTTTTTCCAAGGCCGTCATAACTTCAAACCATCATTGAATGGTGGTTAGGCAAGGATTACCTTTATTAGTCAAGGGCGTGTTTTTTCATTTTTCAGTTTGTTTGACAATATTTACTGATTGGACCATTGCAACATGTTCTACGTTGGGCTGCTCTTGCAGAGCATTCAGGAGCTGTAGCTGGTTCAAAATGTAGCAGGATATGCAGCTATGGATGCATCCACATTATGGCTGTGTAGCACTGATGTTCTATAAGCTGCATTGGCTCCCAGTAGGCTTCTGGGTGCATTTCAAGGTAGCAGTTATCACCTTCATAGTATAGGTGGCACAGGATGAGGTTACTTGCAGGACTGCCTCTCTCCCATAGTTTCTGCCCATCCCATCATATTTGGTAGAGTGGGCATGCTTGGGTGAAACAGTGGCACCTGGTGGGCCCCAGGAGGGTCCTCCTCTCTCATGGCACCTCACTATGGAATATCCTTCCCCTCCCCGAAATCCAGATGGTCCCAACTCTATTGGCTTCCAGAAGGCTGTGAAGACCTGGCTTTTCCCCAGGCACTGGGGTGGGGATGATAGTTATGGGAGCTCTGACATGGGCATATGTGACCCCTGACTCTGGAGATTTTATCGGACTGTGACTTGTTTTGGTTTCATTTGGATTTCATGGAAATTTTTGTGTTTGCTTTCTTTGCCACCCAGAGTTTCCTTGGGTAGCTGTAGACATTGCATTAATAATTAATAAATAAATAAATTTAAAAAGCAAGCAAATCCTTAATCAAATATGCATATATTTCCAAAATGTCATTGTACCTTTCAAGACAGCAAGCCAGGTATAATTTAACAAACTGCTTAATTAAAAGATGGCAATATTTTCCTTTTCATTCACAGCTATAATGCACCAAAACCAAAAGTTGCAATTTCAAAAAAATAATGGGCTGCTACCAGTTAATTAAAGTTTTGGTTAATTTAACAACTCCATCAATTTTGCTTCTTCTTCTTGTTGGTTTTCTCACAAGGAATTGCATGCAGAAATTTATGTATCTTATTTACTTCTAAATAACCATCTCATATCACGTTTTCAATGTTGTTTTAATTTTATATGAAATTTTAATAAGATGCCACCAGGTGGCATCCTGATTTTTTTTCCTGAAGTGCTGATTTTGTACTTGCAAAATTCTTAAATTACACTGAACTATATTCCCATATATCTACAATCAAATAAACAGATTATGTATAGTGCCTTTCAAGCTCAGGTTTTATATAATTGCTTTAGGAAGAAATATTAAAGTCAAGAAATATGCTTGGAATGGAAAATACATACCGTGCTAACGACTTGGCAGCGGGATGCAGTTTCAAACAACAGAAATGAACTGAGTTGAGGGCCATGTCTTCACTTTCAATCCCATTTTCAGTCCTTCAGTGTGAAGGAATTTCACTACCTCTACATTGCTTCAGCTTTGTTCATCATTTAAATATCTCTGAATAATTTATTGGAACAAATATTGGGGGTATGTTAGGTTGGAAACAAATTTATTTAGGCGAATCATTTCATTGTTGACTTTCATTTATGTGTTTGTAGTCAGTCAGTCATTTTATTTTGATCATTGACCAGCAGAACAAATCTTTGAAAAAAGTCACATTTAACTCGCTAAATATTGATGTAGCCTATACAGCACAGAAACTGACTAGAATAAAACAAGCTGTAGAATCATATAACAATACAAGTAAAATTTTAAGTTTAAGAATTTTTGGCATAAAAATGAATATAGTAAGGCATTATGCAATTTGAATAAGGCAATTAAAGGACTATTTAGAATAATAAAATAGGAAAATTACCGATATATAGAACCATTATAACACTAAAACCCATGGAAAAAATTGTAATTAATATTAAATCTAGAGAAAATGCAGTGATGCAGTGTATAAGGAAGAATAATACAGAAGAAGTGATTATGGTTTCAAAACTAAAAAGAGTCCAGTTATAGTGACTGTTTATCTATATTGGTAAAATGACTCTGCCAATTATTAATGAAAATAAGACAGAAGTAAGAATCAATTGATAGTAAGGACATAATACATTGTTATAAAGTATTGAATAAATGAACAGCTGCATTTGAAATGTTTCCAAACGGAAAATATCTAGGTGTTCGAAAAAAAATTATGGCGTATTGTACAAACTGTGAAACAGTATTTTTCATACTGTGTGTGTATTTTTTTATTGCAGATGGCTAAGAGGAAAAAAAGTGTAACAAAGTTATGCCTCTCTCATACTGTTTTCAGTTTTCAAAGCAAAACTGTCTGACTTTAGCATTAAATACACATATACAAATACATACTTAACATAATTTCATATATGTGAGCCTGGTAGGAGTTACAAATCATTCAAAATAAATAAATGTCTGAACGTAGCTTTTTTAGACTCTTCATTTGGCTGAATGGGACACACATACTGTATCCATGTGTCTTCTTGTTGCAAAATCCGTTCAGTAGCTATGGTTTTACACAAGCACCTTCTTTTCTTGTGATTCAGTTGTGGATTATTTCAGTTGTGGATTATTTCAGATGCAACCTGGCAAATATATTTTGTACAACATGTTTTAAATTTTTTTAATCATCATTGTTTTTTATACGTTAACTGTTTTATAGTCTTATTGTACGCTGCCCAGAGTCACTTTTTCGTGAGATGGGCAGCCATATAAATTTGATGATGAATAAATAGTAGACAGATGTAGTATACAATGCTATTGGGTAGACTTTTGCAGAACACTTTGGCAGATAAAAGTACTGTGCAGCACAACTTGCAGACAGACTCACAAAAAATCAAAATTTTGATTCCAGCTGATTGTCTCCAACGTAGAAGGGAAAAGTAGTCCTAGTGATGTCATGGTCTGCACAACAAGTCCAGACAGGCCAGGGCCACCTTCAAGACCCATTGTTAAAGGGCCAGTAACATCTCATGGCTTCAGTGTGAAATGGGGTAAGAGCACTTCTCTGTATTTTAAAAGCACAAAAAGAACTGATTTAACGTGCACGACATTGCTGTAGAAGTGGCTGGTGCCATTTTGTTGTAATGTAATGCACTCTTCCCTGCATAGACATGTAGAGTGTGTCTGCACAGAACTGACTTTGGGTTCTGACTCTCTCAACTGATGCTGAAAAGAAAATGGTTCACTTGTGTTGCCCAGATGTTGTCACTTCTGAATGTGCCATAAGCAGTGATGGAACAACATGACAAATGGGTGTTGCTCCAGAAATAGAATATAGCAAGTTATGACAAAACAAGCAAGAACATTTAAAAGAGAGAGGTTTTGTTATCTGGGCCAGCAAGAAAGAATTTATTCATTTAAGCAAATGCAGATGTATTCGTTTGAAAAAGACTGACATCCACTTCCTGGAGATTTCCTTTGACAAATCAGAGGGAAATAAAATCAGAGACGCAGGGGAAAGAGGAAAGTCCTGCTATATGCCTTTGGTCTGCTGAAAAAGCTACGGAGTTGGAGCTCTTATGCTTACAAACTTTTAGCACCCCTAACCTTCATCAAGCAGGGACCCAGACTAACAAGCATATTAGAGGTAATCTTTTGCTGACTAAAAGATAGATTCTGCATCTAATCACCACTGAAAAGAATGTTTTTCCATTTTTGTAGCTTGTTTATTATTTCTTCTCCAATTTTTTTTTTTTAAACAGAGCCTCCTCAGGACAATGGTGGTTCAGAAATCCTAAATTATCTGTTAGAAGTTTCAGAAGGAAGCTCTGAAGGTAAACTTGATTCATAAACTGTTTGGTTACTTATAATTATACATGTTCATAAGAAAACATAGCTGCATATAATCAGGTAAGAGAAGTGTCGCTACCCTCAAAACCTTTTGTATCAAGTAGCTGGAAATTTCTTGGCTGAATTTATTGCAGGGTAATGATTCTTCACTGTCCCCAAGACTTTGATTCTGGATTCACTGACCATTAGATAAAAATGGAAATCTCTGTAGTAAACAAGTTTTAAAAAGTTAATATTACTTTCTGAACTGTAATATTTAACTGTAACTGCATATCGAAATCGTATAGTACTGATAGGATTCCGGGCAAATCTAGCCTTGTTTTTTAAAAAATTGCAATATACTTGTTTGAAAAGATGTATTTATTTATTTAGGTTTGCATCTAACTTTGCTTTGCAAAATAATAACTATCATTACCAATAATGAGTTATTTTCAAAATACAATGCATTTTTATTTAGGTAAAGCTTTTTTTTATTTTGTCAACTTTCATAATTAACTGGAAATTTGGCCTTACCAAAACCAGAACAGTGCCTTTTTCAGCAAACACAAATCCAGCAAATGATCAAGCAAAACCCTACCTCTCTAATCCAGCTTTCAACTGATGAAAGGACCTGACTGATGGAAAGGGCCTGATTGAAAGGACCATCGGCCATTTCTTCCCATAAAGGGGCTATTGCCATAAATCACTGCAAAGCCAGGGACTTAATGAAATCTAAATAGGATCTTAACAGCTGTTTATCACTTGCCTGAGTGAGTCCAATTAACCTTACAGCAAATCAATGGGAAGTTGCATATAGAGGGCCTGCTACAGAATGTACGTGTGCTTACTTGAAACCAGGCACTTTATACAAGCTCCGGGCATGCTGTATTAGCACTGGTGGACACAGTCAGGTAAGATCTAGTTGAACAGCAAAAGGTACCTTTTTTTCCCCTCTCCATCCTGTCATACTTTCCAACTTTTGTAGACCATCACATCACAAATGGTTATACTGACTGTGAGGTGTTTGATTATTTTTTGCTGCTATTTTATGTTGTGCTGTGTTACAGGTAGTCCTCGCTTAATGACAGTAATTGGGGCCAGAATTTCCATCGCTAAGCAATGCAATTACAAAGTGCAGTGTCACATGACTGTGCTGCTTAGTGACAGCAGTTCCGGCAATCCCCAGTTACCATTATTAAGCAAATTTCCATGGGTCACTAAGCGAGGACCTCACATGACTGCAACTTCTGACTTCCTGCTGGCTTCCCATTTGACTTTGCTTGTGGGAAGCCAGCAGGGCAGGTCAGAAATCACAGTCATGTGACTACATAATGCTGCAACGGGTAGGAAATGCAGACCAGTGGCCAAGCACCTGGATCGCAATCACATGACCATGGAGGTGCTGCAGTGGCCAGAATTTTGAGGAGCAGTCACTGTATGTTCAAACGGTTGCTGAATGAGTTGTCGTTAACCAAGGACCACCTCTATTTCTTTTTAATCATTGGTTGTGTTTTTATTCTGTTTTCATTCTTAGCTGCCCAGAGTCGTATATATGAGATGGGCAGCCATATAAATTTATTAAATAATTTTTTTTTTTTAAATGCTCAAATTCTCATCTACATGCTCATTTTAATAGTTTATCTCATGTAGTTCTTGCTGCAAGAATAGCTGACTTTGATCATTCTCAGAAAGCTAAGCCAAGTCAAACCCAGTTAATGCCTGAATGGACGACTGGCAGAAAATCCCAGAGCTGTAAACTGGGAAGTTTAAAAACATCCTGGAAGAGGGCATGTCTGTGGCCAAGAAAGCCCCATAAATATATGCACAAGTCACTAGGAATTGAGTTCAACTTGAAGGAGATTTTGCTTTGTACTCTTCTGTATGCTCTTACACAGTTCTTGCCTTGCTTCAGATCTCACTGAGATATTTAATGAAGCCTCTACTTCTTTTCATTTCTCTTCTTCTGTCACTGCTTTGGCCTGCCATTTTCCATCATCCAGAAGTGATGCTAACCTCATTGTAAAGACACTTGAGATGAGCTTTAAAGAACTTTAAATGAAAATTTTGGTTGGAAACCAAGAATAGTATTATCTTGTGCTTGTATGGACTTGGAATCTGAACTTCCATCAGGATTAAAATAATTAGCTGCTTTATCCTGTGTCAGGCCATTGGTCTGTGTAACAGTCAATATTATCTATTGATTGGTAGGAACTGAATTTTTTACTTTCTAAGAATGAATGAGTGAATGAGCAAGCAGGCAGGCAGGCAGGCAAGCTGGTCTTCCCAACCTAGTACCTCACAGATGTGTCAGGACTCCAACTCTCAACACATTTGTTGGGTAGAAGTAATGGGAAATGAAATCCCATCAGATCTGGAGGGTATTTTGGGGGCTGAAGGACTCTTCTGCCACTGAGATATGCCACTGTATTTCATAAGGCAAATTGATCATGGCCACTGTTAGCTGGGGAGATTGAGACAAATTTTCCTAGTTGGGGATGATTCTAAGAGTTGACAGTGTTACAAATATTGACAGTGCAGACAGTCCCACTGCTACCATCATGCATAGTGAGCTGCAGAACTATGTTAGTGAGTATCTCTCTGCTCAGCCTGTAATGGGCCGTCATAAGGAAGAAGTGTTTAGGGCTGTATAAACAAATGAAGGTTATTTTAGTAGTAATTTGGTATTAATAACAGAAAGTTCCTCTTAAAAACATTGTTATATGTTCAAGACTGGGCTTGTGATATAATTCATCTCTTAAGGTTCACTAATAAATTTCAGACTAAGTTTGTCCTGTCTTAATCTCTTAATAAAAATGTTGTACACATTTGGTAGTAAGGTTGGGTGAACAGTTAGCCACTTTGGCTTCCTGGAGTACTGTGAACTTCCTGAGGCATATTTTATTTCTTATGTGCATTTTTATTTTTCCATCCTTTCTGCTCTTCCTCCTTTATATCAAGCTAGGCTGAGAAGAGAAAGTGACCACCTCAACATTTACCAAATAAGCCAACACATGTGGATGAACACATGGATCCTGGCCCCCTGGTGTTACAGTGTCAAGGTCAAGGCTCTTTCTCCATGTAGAAGGCAACTGCATAGAGCAGTGTTTCTCAACCTTGACAACTTTAAGATATGTGGACTTCAACTCCCACATGCTGGCTGGGGAATTGAAGTCCACACATCTAAAGTTGTCAAGGTTGAGAAACACTGGCATAGAGACTACATTCGCATGACATACTAAACTACAAGCTATCCAACACCATTTTAGCATAGTGAATGGTGCAAAGTTGTCCTTTGTGGTTTGCTAATGATTCAAGGGAACCCAGAAAGTTGGATTAATTGGGCAAACCAAGGTGAAATTAACCATGGGTAAGTCTGTAATGTGACTATAGCTGAATTGAATAGCTAAATAGGTTTATATCTTATGTATTTTTGTCTTTTTCTAGTGTTCTGAAAGTTTACTTGTTCGTACACTAAGCATTGCTCCAAACCAGTGTCAACCACCCAGAGTGCTTGGGAAACCAAAACATAAAGAAGTACAACTGCAGTGGGGTAGGTCATTAGAACTTGACTTGATGTCCATTTCTTTGCTTCAAAATTTATCTATGAAAGTGTCTGATATTACAATCCATTCAATTATTATGGTTAGGTATCTTGCAAACTCCTACAGGAGAGTGGGTAGTTAGGAGAAGCTTATTTTTGGTATCTGACAAAGTAATAACACCAACTTCACTGTAATTATATTAATCGTCTCAACATCTCTTTCCAGATGCTCCCCCTGTATCAGAAAGTAGCAGTCATATCTCAGCATACAGTGTAGAAATGACTGGACCTGAAGATGTGGTTTTGGAGGTGTATCATGGTCCAGATCTTGAATGTACTGTCGGCAATCTTCTGCCTGGAACAATATATCAGTTCAGAGTGAGAGCTTTGAATGATGGAGGGGTGAGGAAGCTGACTCCAAACTGTTGCATATTTATTTATTTGTTTGTTTGTTTGTTTATTTATTCATTCATTCATTTTTTTATTTATTTTTCAAATTTAGATAATGCCCATCTCACCAAAAACTGACTCTGGGGGGGTTCATGATAAAACAACAATAAATATTAATTAAAATACAATAAAAACAATATAAAAATACAGTAAAAA